GAAGAGTTCGCCCGCTTTACTAACGATCTTTGCCCGATATTCATTTAACAACTGCGAGTATGAGTTTTTGGAGAGACTTAACAGCTGCATCGTTATTTCTCTGAATGACTCCTGACTTTTCATTACTGCTGTGGTTTTCGACACCAACTGACCGACATTATTCAAATTTATCGCACCTAAAATGGGCCAATCTTGTAAAGAAGCATTTACAGCCCATGCAATCTTCGGCCACGGAAGCTTGAATAGATCTTCAAAAATCGTTAGCAAGCTGCCATTGTCTGCTACCTCAAGGCTGAATTTGGCTGCCAAATCGTTCACAGTCAAAATCGATGCAGCAACAACTAGTGCTATCTTTCTACATGACATCTCGTTGTCGAGCCCAAGTAATGACTCTATAAAATCTTGGGGCCGCTTACTCAGGAAATTGCTTTCAGACAGGTTACAAAATCCTCGAGTTTCCAAAATTGTGTAGTTGCCTAAAACGTCAATTCCGGTAGAACTGTAGTTGTAGAGTAGTAGAACTTCTGATATAGTGATGTTGATCCTCTCTTCAATAAATTCCAAGAAAGTAACCTCGTCCAATGAGCCACTCGTTATCCCAATAGCCGTTATAATCTGCAGTAGTGTTTCCGTCTCAATAGCTTCCTTACCTCTGAGTAGCCTGGAAAACATACTGTCCCATTTTGATTCAAGTTGTGCAAGCGATAAGTTCTGAAGGTTCTCAGGTATCTCTTGAGAGAGTTGAGCGAAATTTTTTATCGTTACGCCCAGCTGATGCTGACCACTTCGAATGATCTCGTTCTTTACAAATGGTATCATCTCGCGCCACTCAGTAGGAGAAAGCTTTTCAAGTTCCCCAGGATTCAAATCTAATGACACTTCGATCCTGCTAACAGACACATTGAATTTGTCAACTAAGTACTCTATCGTTAACGCAAACACTTCAATGGGAAACAGCACATCATACTGCGCTTTGGATTTACTCCCAAAATGCATCAGCTCTGCTTCATTCGTATTAAACAGATCATAAAGAAAATTCAGCGTACCGTCCCGGTGTTCAATTATCTTGGTCTGGACATTGTCTGCGTCCTTTAGCTCTACTGATTTATTGAGTATTTGCAGAAAGGCCGTCGATAGGTATGGATCTAACTGTAAACTAGAAGTGACTTCCTTGTACGAGTCTTCGTTTAGAACGTACAGTACCGTCCAGTCTTCCATCTTTAATTCAAAGGCCCAAACGTTTCGTCGCCATGGAAGACCTGTCACCTTCTCAACAAGAGTCACAAAAGAAACGCTGGTGTTCGTGAAAAGGCTGAATTCAGACTTCAACTGAGACATGTTTTTGATGCGGGCTGAGACATAAAAATTCGTACTTGTACATACGGGTGCGGCTTCCCTAGTCCCAACGATTTCAGCGGTAATGTTTAACGGTGTTTTGTGCTTGACAGTGGACGTGTTGAGGGTACAATAAAGTTGCAAATCATTGATACGCAAGGATTGAAGGATGAAAAGTTGATGTAAATTATATCCATATAACAGTCTGAGTTCATTAGAACTAAATCCACTTGTTGACAACACCAGAGAGAGAATAGATGAATTAAGGTAGGCATCATCAGAGACAGCATTCTGAGACAAATACATGATTATAGGCGCGGTTTCAAACTTTGTCTTGTGGCGTTTAGCGTCTGAGATTTGATTTTCTATCAGCTCCTTTAACTTTGCAATCGACAGTTCCATAGATTGGACACCCAAAAGTGTCAGTAAGTTTTCCGTTGATATCTGAAGATCGCTAGCCTCGGTTTGCACAACGGAATCAACAATACTAGCAATTACCCTTTTCCATTCTTGTCTTGGTAGGTTATAGAGTGTTTCTTCAGACAATTGCAAAGAGAAAACGATATCACTTAAATTCAATCTAAAGTTTGCGATGGTTGCGTTCAGAAATCGTCTGAAAAGCAATGGAGATGGGGCACCTTGAAGGGACACTTCACTTAAAGCAGTCAGGTTTGCCACGTCACTTAATGAGAAGTTGAATTTTTCTCTAAGAAGAGTTTTAATGAATAAACGATGGGTTTCAGTCTTGTTATTGAGAGACCCATCTGCTCGCAGCTTCAAAACAAGAACCACTGCCTCACTAATAGAGTCGTTGAGCAACGTTTCCAGGGGAACTTCACCGATTTCTGACAGCTCTGACAACGTTACGGAATCCAGAAACTCCCAATCTGGGAGAGATACATTCACAGACTCGTAAACTTGACGCCATGTAAGATTCGTGACGTCTGCGAGGATTTCCAGCACACTTGCGTTTAGCGTGTTAACACTGCTTTTGAACGACGCGATGGATTTTCCTTTAATGCTGATCAAAACGGGACATGGCGGTGATATGTACAGAGATCCAACAACCTGCCACGAGACCTCAGGCAAGGTGATGCTCAGAAGAGTTTCTGTTGAAATACCACAAATGCGAAAGATTTGATAGAATGTAGACCTGCCTATTGCCTTGGCTTGCTCTCTTGTGAGATTGTACAGAATGCCGAATTCTCTGGTGGAAAGTGATATATTCTTATGGTGTTGCAGTATCTTCGCCAAAATCACTTCATTGTAGGATTCTCCGGGCAAGATCCCAGAGGAGTTTATGAGAGAAGAAGTGCAGTTCTTGTCAAGTATCGCCTTCTTGGGGAGGAAAGGAAACACCATTTCTTCGAATCTACTAAGGTTTACGTTAAGAAAACCTTGCACTTCCATGTCCATCAATTCTGCCAAGGCATTTACAGTGGGAAGTTCAAGCAGTCTGGAAAATGCAGAGGAACTCTCACTAACCATTGCATGAACAACGGTCTCCCAGTTGGCCGGGTCGTAAGAACTCGACAGATTTATGGTTGGAATTCCTAGAATAGACGCCACTTTGTCTAGGTCAAAAACAAACTTGTGACTGACAAATGTTAAAAGTTCCTTTTGATAGTCAGCTGGTGTCTTCGTTGGAACAATTAAATGATCAGAGTAGTTGCGGTCCAACTCGTTAAAAGGAACACTATAAGACCAATAGTAATCAAGGTTTTCTAAGTTCGCAGCGGTGAATAATGAATCAGCAGCAAATGAAAAAACTGCAATTTTAATTTGGTTTAGGTTTTCAGAATATGTGAAATCTAAAGTCCAGCTTTTTGCAGTCTTCACGTGATGTGTAGTAACTTTGTCGTATTTTGCTTGTGGCCCAAAATCACCAGTAAATATGCGCTTAAGCGGCATGTAAAGGAAAGGTAATATGAACTGTCCCATGACTGGAATAGGGGTAATTACAAGAAGAAAAATCCAAACTCCCGTCATCTTTCATGTAATAAGTTCGGGCGACAGTGGAGACCTCAATAAGATGAATCCCTATAACTGAAACAGAAGACCAAAAAAATAAATCTATCACAATTCCAACAAAATTATATTAGACAATACGGAAAAATACCTACGAGACAATGACTGCGTCCAAAATAGGGCCTGTAACTGTAAAACCCAGAATATACCAGTTAAATAAAAACTGGGATTTATTTCAAAACACTGCCGTTTTCGGAAGCTGGATTTTCTATGAGCATAATCTTTAAGGTTACGTTCTGTATCCGTAACTTCAGGTGGAGGATAGTTTTGCGGGTTGTTTCTTTTGTTGTCAGCGAATTACATCACACGCTTTTAGGGCCAAAAATAAACATGATCATAAGTAATTAGGTTTCTGTTACCCCGTGTTTATTACATAAAAGACTGAGCAACAGGAAATCCAATAAAAGGACGTCATCCTGGCCCCCTTTTTAGAGCAACTTTGTAAATGGTTTTTAAGCCAGAAGCTAACTGTATTAATCTCACAGCAACTTAACTGAGGGCGGCATACAACAAATGAAACACATTGACAAACGAGAAAGAGATTGTTTCTCTAAGAGAAACAGCTTTGTCAAGACTTAAGAGAGAGAGTCTGTTGATATGCAAATACGTTTATTAAACACAGGTTGCCCACCAAAAGGAAAGCACTGTCACGGGTTACCAAGCAAAAAGCAGGTGGTGGTATTCAGGTCAATGTTATCTTCGTGCGCACAATGATTGACGATATCAAAGCAGAAGATAACGAGTCGAGATGACACCTGACTCACATAATCTAATAACCATAACATAACTCCTGCTCTTGAACAAAACACTTTCGTTGTAGAGCAGTATCATCTTAATTAGCTTTATCTAAAACAAAAAACGTAAGCAGCAGCTATAAGGATGAACGCTTGGACTCACCACTGTCCGTGAATGTTTCATCTCTGCGGGTTATTAGTAAATCATCATAGCGTGAAACTTAAAGTATTTCTTTTTGAGAAATACACAACCCGTTTCTAATGATAAATTGTGTAAAATATCTTACCAACAGATTCAGCACGCCTTGTTTATATGATAAAAGTTCGAAACTAAAAGCGTTGCTTAAGTTTCAGCACAACTGAACTACGTAAGGCTTCTACATCTTTGAGTAAATACAGCAGAGTAGAATGACAGGCCAACTACAGAAATGTTTACGAGATGGTCGAAATGAAGTCAGAAGTTCAGCCTTTGTGATGAGTAGCGGTTTTCTGGTTAGGTGCCAATTTAGCAAATAGTCTACAAAATCAATATCGACGGCAAAATTAAATAACAAAGTACATGTGGAAAACGTAAATTTTTTCAAGTCAACTTTTTACAAACCTTCCTATAGCGTTTACTTGTATAATCACAGTATATTAAAACACTGATTCAATCCATTCAGTACAGCGCAATTTTTGTCAGCCAAAGTTGGGGCCCTTCGGCCTGTTATCAGACAATACATTTTAGTCGGTGAGTGAAAAACTGTAAGGTTAAAATCTAGCCCCCAATTCAAGTTCAACCTTTCTTTAAAATAGTAAGTAATAGAAGCTAGGGCAAATACAGAATAAGGTAGAAAAATCTTGATTAATGCAATACGATCTACCTTGTTTCGCTGTTATTTGAACTGAATCTAACTTCTTGCTTCCCGCCTTTGTGCAAATAAGATTAGTACCAAACCAGCAGCAACCTTCAAAAGTAGTATTTTTCTGCTATGTAGTTAAAACGATACCAAGCAAAAATACCTGTACTTTTCCGTACCCAAACGAATCTTCCCAAAATAATAAAGGAATTCAAGTTTCCCTCATTATGACTGACACACTTAACAGAAGTTATCGCCCGCTCAAGATCGTCTATCATGCCAAAAAAAATAATTTGCATATTTTGTTTAATTTTCAACACCAATGGGCAGCCTCAGGGTTATTTCAGATGATTCACAGGGTGTTATTACAGCTTAACTTTACAAAACACTTTCTCCCCCGCAGTTAACTTTAAGTCACTGAAAACTTTGCAGTCTCCAAATGAATTCCTAGGAAGCTTCAATTCAAATACAACCTACTGCTTCCAGCAGGGTTGCTATTTGTATAGGCAATAGCATGATTTGTAGTGATATTTGGCATAAATACCACGACTGATATTTCCAAATTGTTATACACAATTTCACGAGCCGTTAGGCGAGTGAAATTTGAGACAATTTTGAAATATCATGAGTGGTATTTATGCCAAATATTACGTACAAATCATGCTATTATTTGTTTATACTACTACCCGCAAAGGTTTTGTAATTTTCACATGTAGGTATTTCAAATTAAGCTGAAATACCACTGATCTATGAAACAAGAGAGCTCTAAATTTCGATCCAATAAGTGTCTTTTAACTCACACGTATCTTTAGTCAGGGGCACCCAACGACAATTTTCGGAAGAATATCTGTTCGGAAGACGATTTGAGATCTAGAATTTTCGAAACATTTGTTGTAAAATTTCTTGCTTGTCTGCCTCTCCTAGGATTTTCGAACATCTAAAAAGTGGTATAATTGCCCATTTTTAACGGATTTTTACTCTAAAAAGGTCACCTAGAATTTTCGGGAGCCTCTTTTCTGGCTGAAATTTTCGAAAAGGTAAGTTTTGATCCCTATAATTTTCGGATCACTAGACTTTCAGCTAGGAAATCCGAACAGATGAAAAATTTTTAGGGGATAAAAATATGCCTATATTTATCGTTTAAATACTAAAATACGTTTAACAATGCTATGTTTAAGTGGTTTTGAACTATATTCTCGTTGGGTGCCCCTGTTTAGTAACCTCTTTTTTTGCCCAGCAGCCAAGTTGGCTAGTTTTTCTGTTTACAAATGAAAACCTACAACAAGCAAGTCCAATGGCCAGGCATTTAAGCACTACTCCCGTTTTTTTATTTCTTCTTCCAAATATTTTAGTTGATGAAGTCAAATCTTTAGGTCCGATTATGGAAATGCCTGCACTTCATTCACTCTCACAGTAGCGTTTCCCTCAGTAATTCACATGCACATCCATCCAAACCAAATGCATCGAGGAAATATCACCATCTTCTAGTTGTGCCGTTCACCTCATTCATCTGCTTTTAATAAAAATATATTTGAGCGCCTCGATTACAGAGTCTTTTTTCCACGTATTTTTTTAAATAAAAAGCAAGAAACTTCTACATCCAGTAGGGTTTAGTCCATGATAGAGAATTACTCAAAAACAAAATCTTTGTTGTACAAGTTATTAGGGCAGGTTGCAAACAAACGCATCAATAATAAAACTGTTTTCTTTGAAACATCGTTAATCATTAAACTCTGGCTCGAAAAAACAACTCTGGCTCATAGAACCAAAGCGTTCCGATGACATAACGAATTCTTCATTTCCAGAAGCTTGTTTTTATGCAAACAAATATTTAGCCTCAAATTGCATTAACGAGAACGTTCTTGAAAACAAAATAATCACTTTAGCCTCGGGGAATGTTCTTTAAAATTCAAATTCTTTGTTGTGGTTGTTTATGATCGGTAACAGCTAAAAATAATACTGGGAATAATGCTGCCATTGACACATCAAACATTCGTCCGTGAATCGAGTAAACCTGTTCCGTGTACAATTTAACTCGCTCGCCACTGACCGCCACGCTCTACTATCTGAATGCCTGGAACAGGCTAGAATCGAGTAACAATAACTGACGGAAACACGAGAAGGTAAAAGACCGAGAAAGGTGTTAAAAAAATCCTGTAGATTAGCAGGTGGGCGTCCTGTTTTTCTCAAGTCAATTAAAGAAAACTTGCTTTTCACTTTAAAAAAGGAAAATATATTTTATCAGAATAACGTAAGTCTCGCACTCGAATCATTAAATGGACATTCCTGAGAAATTGCCTGTTAATCACCACTGCCAATTTAATAAATTGATCGTCAAGTATGAAACTCCAACTTAGGGTAGCCTGTTTGGAAAGAAGCGGTGTGTTCGGTTCGACAGCTTGTGGGCAGGTCATCTCCAGACTCCACTGATCTTAAAACCTATATTATAACACAGCGCGCGTGCTTGCCCCAGATAACGCCTATTGAGCCGCTATGAACAAAATCTTTATTTACGCACGCTTGCGCCCGTGGTACCCAAAAATCGACGGCAATGATGAAAAACTTTCTAGCATTTTTGGAATTTAGCTTCCTGCCACTCAAACCAACAGCAAAGGCGGTGAAGATGTTTCGCAAATAATAGAGCCTGAATGCTTCCTTGAAAAGTCTGCCGTAAAGACTGACATTCAGCTGGAAGAAGACCACAAATTGGTCTGTGTCGGGAAATATCCAATTTGTATAAAGCGTCCTCCGTTTTCAACCTTTGTTTATCCTTTACAAAACAAGTTAATCATAAAGTTAGCTCAATAGCGAAAACTTTTGCCGAACAATCCGACTGAAGCAAGACAATTTCTCTTGCAATAACAAGACAAATTACACAAGAAGACAAATTTATTACTCACAAATATTTAAAAAAACTGCTGCCAGGTCTTGTCAAGAAGCCGTAATGACCAGCCATTGTTCGTAAATGAATATAAAGTAGGGGGTGACAGTCGGCTTCGATAAAAAAAAAGTTTTCTGGATTTCGCGGAGCAAAACATAAACATCTTTTCAGCGAATCCAAACCATACTCCACGACTTCTTACGAGCATGTGGGTATTTTAACTTTTGTGGGTGAACTTTAAGACTCTTTTACCTTTGTTTCTGCTTAGTTTCCATTGATCGTTAACGAATAAATAAGCAAGTTTTCTTTCTCAGTTTTACAGAAAGAATTTTCTTTCAAACTAGACCGTAGGCCATTTTCACTAAGAGGTCATGTGACATCGTTTTTATGAAAATGAAAGTTGTATGATTTTGCCTTCGAGAAACAATTAGTGGGTCATGTCTTAAACAAAATAATAGTGATTTGGTTTTTCAAACCCGCACCATTTTCTTAAAATGAGTAAGTTCGTAGCTGGTCACGTGACCAAAATGTGATTTTTAAAATTAATTATGAATCACCTCTTTCTGAATGCAAATTTTGCACTTAAACTTCAAGGAAAATGTTGAAAAGATGATGTGGTAACCTTTACAGTACATCTGAGCGCAACTATCAAACGTTTAACAGGATATAAGCAAAAAGTGGTTTCGGCTGCCATGTTGGAGAACAAGAGTATGCCCTCCAACATGGCGGCCAATACAAATCATACTACTTTGTTGAAAAATCAAAGTGTCATAAAATATCTCCCTTAAATGTGTTTCCTCTCAAATTTCGGGTGTAAGATCATTTTTATGTGCTCGGTCAATTTTTGGCATCAGCCAGATTCCAACTCATTGTTTAAAGGCAGCACTGGTCACGTGACCTCTCAGTGCACGTGGCTTATTGTGGCGTGCATCCATAACTCGATATACGTACGCTGAGCGTGAACAAATTCTTAACTTAACTTTTTGTTGGTAAACTTGGTTTAAGTTGGTTACTACCGAATTTACTTAACTGTTAGCACTTCGGAAAAAATGTTCATTTGCATCATAATTTTTGAAAAGCTTGTTTGACCATTTTGAGCAACCACATAACTTTTAAAAACGCACTTACCAAGGTTTGCGGTTTAAATGTTCTAAGAATGCATGCCAGGATAAACTTCTCTTCCTCTGCTCAACATTTCATTAATAATCAGTGACTTCGCATCTTTTCCAGTTGATTTCCCGGGCCAGCCAGAAAGTTCTCTCGTGACGTTCATGGCCATTTCAACCTCGAGCAGTTTGAAACGTTGCCTCACTGAAAATAGGGAAAGTCACATGACCATGCAAAGCGCACGGAATGGTTACGTGAGCTGTTTTGATGATGCAGACGATCACTTTTTTCGGAGTGCTACAAGTTAGAAATGTTAAGTAATAACGAACATTTACATCGATCAGTTTTTAAAAAGGAAGCAAACTCATTGCTTTCTTGTCATTCTTCAAGGAGGGATTTACACAGGTAGTTTTCTATGTAGCTTTGACAAGCAGTCTTTTAAACGTCATCATCGTGTTTAGACATAGCGTCCGTGTTCGAAATTCAAGGAAAGATCTTGTTAACACCAGCACCAACTCAAAGAATAGTCTATTCCAGGCCATCTTATTGACACAAATCTTGCCAAGTCTTAACGGGAAACTTTCATGGAACGCCTGCATAACAGCAAAAAATAACAGTAAAACCCCGTTAACAAGGAAACTTAAGGGGCCACAAAAAGTGTTCGTATTAACGGGGTGTCCGAACTAAGAGGGTTGAATTTAGAAAAAATGTGAGGGCTTTACTCCGGCAGGGACAAAGAAAACCGTCCGTAATAATGAGGTGTCCATAAAGCAGGGTTCGACTGCATATTCGCGGCTCATTTTCACATTCCACAGGTCACAAGCAGAGTCACAAGGGAACTGAGCAACTGTGGCTCTGTGTTTGGCCTTATCCCGACTTCCTAGTGTGGTATACCAAATGTTGTTACCCACAATACAACAGTTGTGGTAGCGGTTTCTTGGTGTTGGTTTATAGCTAGATTGCTTTGTGGCAAGTGTGGATATTGTTCACTGCGGTCAGTTCAATGTTATGTTATTCCGTCCGTCCGCAACACCAACATTTTTAAGGAACTGACTGAGACCATCGGCAACTGGTGCGCAAAACCTAACTCAGATAAAACTGATTATT